ATTGTGGCCATTTGGGGGTGAGCCAGTGGATAGAAGGCCTCTCTGTGTGTGTGTGTCTCTATGTCTCCCTATAACTCTGTTTTTTCAAATAAATCAAATACATCTTTAAAAAAAAAAAAGAAGAAAGATCTTGGGAAAAAAAAAATGGAGCAGCCGGAACTCGAACCAGTGTCCATATGAGATGCTAGTGCTGCTGGTGGAGGCTCAATCTACTACCCCACAATGCTGGCCTCTAGAGTAATTTTTAAGGAGAGAAATAAGCAGACCAAATTATTTCCAGTTGGTTAATAGCAAATAGCTTATAATGAAAAATATCTACAGTTCCATAAAGTATATTGACTAGACTTAGAGGTCCTTGAAGAAATTATGGGTAGGTAGGTGTCCATCCAAGATTTTTTTTTTTTTTTTTTTTGACAGGCAGAGTTAGTGAGAGAGACAGAGAGAAAGGTCTTCCTTTTTCCGTTGGTTCACCCCTCAAATGGCCGCTATGGGCGGCGCGCTGCGGCCGGCACGCTGTGCCAATCTGAAGCCAGGAGCCAGGTGCTTCCTCCTGGTCTCCCATGTGGGTACAGGTGCCCAAGCATTTGGGCCATCCTCCACTGCCTTCCCGGGCCACAGCAGAGAGGTGGACTGGAAGAGGAGCAACCAGGACAGACTCCGGTGTCCCAACTGGGACTAGAACCCGGGGTGCTGGCGCTGCAGGCGGAGGATTAGCCAAGTGAGCCGAGGCACCAGCCTCAGATTTACTTCTAAATGGCCATGATTACAGAGCTTGCTGAAGTCTTTCCTCTGACAAAGATTTGATTCAATCTCTGTCAGGTAGAACATAGAAACCACCTAAGAATTAATTTGGGTGATCCTCAAATTAATATAAATAAGTGTTCTCTTTTCCAGAGATCTGTTAGTATAATCATGGCCTCTATCTTTCCAAAAGCACTTGTTATTTAATTAGTAGTGTGATTTTTTTTTGATTCTTTGTTAGATTGGGACAGTACAAGCAGTGCTTGTTTTACTATTAAGGTAAAACATCAAGTTCTCTATCCCTGAAGATAATATTTTAACACAAAACACACCTGATTTTTAATAATTATATTTGGTTAACAGATTTATTTATTTGAAACAGCTACAAAGAGGGAGAGACAGGAAGGGAGAGCTTCTATCCACTGATTCTCTCCCCAGATGGTTGCAACAACCAGGTCTGGGCCAGTCCAAAGTCAGGAGCCCAGGAACTCCACCTTGGTTTCCCACCTGGGTATCAGAGCAGTAGCCAGTGGGTCTTGAAGCAGCACTCTACATGTGGGAATATGGGATGCTGGAATCACAAGCAGTAGCTTAACATGCTGTGCTGCGCTGATCCTGGGTGATTGTCTTCAAAGCATTTGAAGTAAACAGAAGCTCTTTGTCAAGCAAGGTCCATGTTTTGTAACTTCTAGCTGTGAATCCCCCACCATAAAAAGTAGATCTATTAAATGTTAATCACAGTAGCTCCAGATAATCAAATACTTAGCTTTGGATTAATTTATTTTTTTTTAAAGATTTATTTATTTATTTGAAAGTCAGAGTTACACAGAGAGAGGTCTTCCGTCCGATGGTTCACTCCCCAGATGGCCCAATGGCCGGAGCTGCATATCCGAAGCCAGGAGCCAGGAGCCAGGAGCCAGGAGCTTCTTCTGGGTCTCCCACGTGGGTGCAGGGGCCCAAGGACTTGGGCCATCTTCTACTGCTTTCCCAGGCCACAGCAGAGAGTTGGATCGGAAGAGGAGCAGCCGGGACTCGAACTGGTACCCATATGGGATGCCAGCACTGCAGGCAGCAGCTTTAACCTGTGCCACAGCACTGGCCCTTTGAATCACATTCTTAAGGTGGTTAAAGTCCAATTATTCGACCAGCATTTCACCTTTGGGAACCTCAAAGTATAAAACCCTTTCAAAAATGTTCCCCTTTTTATTTATTGTTGTCATAATCACCATTAGTATTATTGCCATCATCATACCTGATATTTATTAGAAGTTTACTCTGTGCTAGGTTAAACACCTTACATGCTGAATAGTATTTGCTCCTTACAACAAGTACCTGCTATTATCTCCATTCCCTCTAGAGCTTAGAAAGGTTAAGTAACTTGACCAATGTCACAGAAATAGTAGGTGCCAGATGCCTGATTTGAAACCAGACTAATTCAGCTGAAAGCCTTCGCCCCTAATCTTTAGTTTACCTAAGCTCATTCAATTCACTTCAACTTGGTTTAAGTTGACTTTTTTGTTAGCAGTCATTATGGTCTTCTCCATCAACAAATGTTGGACAAGGTATGCATTCAAGTAATGAGACAAAGTATAAATAATTGAACAGTTAATGAGCAATTTTAAAAATAATTTTAAAAAGTTTTATTTATTTGAAAGGCAAAGTTACAGAGGTGGAAGCAGGGAGAGGTCTTCTATCTGCTGGTTCACTCCCCAGATGGCCACAAGGGCTGGAGCTGGGCCAATCTGCAGCTGGGAGCCAGCAGCTTCAACCAGGTCTCTCACATGTGTACAGGGGCCTAAGGACTTGGGCCATCTTCTACTGCTTTCTCAAAAAAAAAAAAAAAAAAAAGAAAGAAAAAAAAAAAAGAAAAAAAGCAGGAAGCTAGATTGGAAGTGGAGCAGCCGGGACTTAAACTGGCACCCATTTGGGATGCAGGCAGAGGCTTAATCTACTATGCCACGGCACTGCCCCCAATGAGCAATTTTTAAAACCCATATGACTTGGTGGATGTTTGGTACAGCAATTAAGACACCGCTTGGAATGCCACCTGCCTCCCATATCAGAATGCCTGGGTGTGATGCCAGCCCCTGGCTCCTGATTCCAACTTTCTGTTCATGTAGACCCTGGGAGGCAGTAGGGATGACTCAAGCAGTTGGGCCCTGCATTCCACGTGTGAGACCTGCACTGAGTTCCCAGATCCCGGCTTTAGCCAGGCCAATTCCAGCCTGTCAGTTCTGGGCACTTGGAGCGTGAACCAGTGGATGGGAGCTCCATCTCATACTCTATGCCTCTCAAATAAATAAGATGAATTAAAAAAAAATTAAAGTCCCATATGACTGTCAGAGGAATGGACAGTGAACAAATGCTTGGAGTTTGTTCAGCAAAATGTGGTGGAACTACAATTGTTTCCTGAAGGGCAGAAAGAAAGGCTTTGAATAAATGTGGGGGTGGAGGGAAGGGCACTGCCAGGACAGGTTGGCTGCCTCTGCGAAGGCAGAAAGTCTGGAAAGTTCTAGGGACATGGGAATAAACAGGAGTAGTCCCCTTTGGCTAGGCCAGAGGTCTTGAGAAAAAGAAGGTATTCACCTACAGGGGGACTTCAAAGAGTTCTTGGAAAAATGGAATTGAAACATGTTTATTTTGGTGTGAACAATTTTTGAAATCCATGCATTTTTTTCATAATACACATTTTTTCCATGAGTTTTTTGAAGATTCTTTGCACATTTGCTGTTGTTTCTACTCAGTGCTAAGGAGTCTGAGCCTCCAGGAAGCAGAGAGCTCTGACCCCGCGGGGCTGAGTCCTTTCACCTCCTCCCTGAGCTAGTATTGTATGACCCTGTGTTCCTGCTTAGGTTTCATTTTCCTATCAGCAAAAGGGGAATAATTCTGGTTCCCCTGTGTTTTCTCCCAATCATCAAAAATGAATGAGTTAGGCCACAGTACACAAACAAAAGGGAAACGTGTAATGTTTTATGAGACAAATTCATAAAAGTGTGGCATATCCGGGCATCTTCATAGAATAAGCACTGAAGAAAACTTTTAAAAGAAACCTTTTAAATCCAGTAATGACTATTGCCATACAGTTAGATCCTCATTTTCCCTTTAAATGGCAGGAACTTGAAAAAAAAAAAAAAAAACTGAAACGGGATATAGTTGGCCACTGACAATTCAATTTATGGGTTCCATAGAATTTTAATTTACTCATTTCACACGTCGTTATCAACTCCTGGAGAAGTTTAAAAGGACAAAGGATGAAAGTGGGACTGGTCCTGTCTTCCGCGTGACTTCCATGGTGGGGGGCTTTTCTTGGCGAGCACGCGGGGTCGCCCGGTGATTGCTGGCACTGCCGGGCTGATGGCAACCCGCCCATGAGAAGGTGACGACGACGTGAAAACGCGGATTAAATCGAGCGCACCCTCCCACCCGCGTTGTAAATGAGGAATTTTCCTCCCTCTCCCGCCCGCACAAGCGGGCTGAGGCAGCAGCTGGCATCACAATGCTGACATTTGTTTCGTGATTCCCCCTTCCCCAGCACTTTGACACACACACACACACACACACACCCCGCTTCTCAAGGACGCACGGCCGCTGCCACCTTTCTTTTTAAAACGGGAACCCCCGGGGGTCGACCCTGGAAACGGGCGGGAACGGCCGAGGTCTGCACCCTCTGGCGCGGGGAACCCAGAACCCCCGTGTTGTTCCGGGCCCGGGGCTCCCCCGCTCCCGCCGTGACTCACGCCTTGCAGATCTTCGCCCTCCCCCGCCACGCACCCCCAGCCCACGGCGCGCGGCGTCATCCCGCCCAGGCAGGCGTGGAGGTCTCGGGTCTGAGTCACACAGAAAAGACCACCCTCGTCGGCATCCCCCCCCACACACACACAGTCCCTCCGCGCCGGCCTCCGCGCCTCACACACCAACGCCCGTCGTCTCCGCGCCACTCGTGAGGCTGCGCGGCTCTGGAGCCCTTGACCCAAAAACCTCCGAGACACCGAGCGCCGCAGAGCCGGCCTCGGGCGGCCTTTGATGGCTTTGTTATTGTTTGGGTTTGAATCGATACGCCCCTCCCCATCCTTCCTCCCTCGCGGCCCGACACCCAGCGCCCGCCTCCCCGCACGCCCCGCGCCCCTCCCCCTCCATTTTGGCGCCTTTTCCTTCCCGCCACGTCGTGGCGGCGTAGAGACCATTCTGACCGCGAGAGTGGGGCGGGGCGGGGGCGGGGCGCGCCGCGCTATGCAGATCAGTCGGCCTCTGGTTGGCTGGAGGCGCGCCGGCGAGGGCGGGGCCGGGGCGCGGCGACCCAGCGCGCGGGGCGGGGGCCGAGGGGAGTCGCCCCGTCCCGCCGCCTCCCCACCCCCTCTCCTCTCTCCACCGGCCGGGCAGCCCAGCTCCCCGCCTCGGCCTCCCGGAGAGGCCCCGCCCCGTCCCCGCCCGCCCGCGCGCCCTCCCCGCCGGCGCGCTCCGCCCCTTTACTCCTGGCGGCGGGGCGAGCCGGGCGTCTGCTGCAGCGGCCGCGGTGGCGGAGGCCTGAGAGGAGTCGGCGGCAGCGGCGGCGGGACCGGCAGCAGAGGCACCAGCAGCAACAGCAGCAGCAGCAGCAGCGGCGGCGACAGCGGCAGCGGCAGCAGCAGCAGCGGCCGCCAGCAGCCCCCGGCCCCGCGGCCCCGCCGCCGCCCGAGCCCCACGAGCCGCCCTCCACGCCGCCTGACCCCACCGGCGCGCCCTCCCGCCGCCAGTCCCGGCAGCGCCCCCAGTTGTCCTCGGACTCGCCCTCGGCCTTCCGCGCCAGCCGCAGCGGCAGCCGCAACGCCACCCGCAGCCCCAGCGCCAGCTCCTGCGGCGGCGCCTCCAGGCACGGTCCCCGCGCCGACACCCTGGAGGTGGGGATGCTCTTGTCCAAAATCAACTCGCTGGCCCACCTGCGCGCCGCGCCCTGCAGCGACCTGCACGCCACCAAGCTGGCGCCCGGTGAGCGACCCCCGCGGGGCGGCGGCGGCGGCGGGCGGGAGCCCCGGGCCGGGGGGCCGGGCCAGCGGGGGGCTCGCGGGCCGGCACTGAGCCGCCGGTGCCCGCTGCTCTCCCTAGGCAAAGAGAAGGAGCCCCTGGAGTCGCAGTACCAGGTGGGCCCGCTGCTGGGCAGCGGCGGCTTCGGCTCGGTGTACTCGGGCATCCGCGTCGCCGACAACTTGCCGGTGAGTGTGGGCGCCCCGCGGCGGCGGCGGGGAGTGGGGGGCGGGCGGGTGCCGAGGCCCCGGCGGAGCTAACCGAGACCCTCTTGGCGGGGGCTTCCAGGTAGCCATCAAACACGTGGAGAAGGACCGGATTTCCGACTGGGGCGAGCTGGTGAGTGCCCCGAGGGGCGCGCCCCGGCGGGCGGGCGGGCTGGCTGTCTGGCTGGCTGGCTGGGTGGGTGGGTTCCGGGGGGCTGGGGAGGGGGTGGGCGCGCCGCCCGCCCTCACGCCGCCGCCTCGCCGCCCCCTCCCCCTCCCCCTGCAGCCCAACGGCACCCGCGTGCCCATGGAGGTGGTCTTGCTGAAGAAGGTGAGCTCGGGCTTCCGGGGCGTGATCCGGCTGCTGGACTGGTTCGAGAGGCCCGACAGCTTCGTGTTGATCCTGGAGCGGCCCGAGCCGGTGCAGGACCTCTTCGACTTCATCACGGAGCGGGGGGCCCTGCAGGAGGAGCTGGCGCGCAGCTTCTTCCGGCAGGTGCTGGAGGCCGTGCGGCACTGCCACAGCTGCGGGGTGCTGCACCGTGACATCAAGGACGAGAACATCCTCATCGACCTCAGCCGCGGCGAGCTCAAGCTCATCGACTTCGGCTCGGGCGCGCTGCTCAAGGACACGGTCTACACCGACTTCGACGGTGAGCCGGGCGCCGGCGGGCCTGCTGGCTTTTATTGCATTACTATTATTATTTTTATTATTATTATTTTTTTTTTGCGTGGCACCCAGGGGGCTCCTTGGCCATGAATAAGAGGCCGTGGGCGCCGGGCCGTAGCCCAGATTTCTGGAGTCTGACCCAGTTTCCCCGGCAGGGAGAGGCGCGGGGTGGGGACGGGAGGGTGGCTGCCGCCGCCGCCGCCGCCTCGGTCATTTTTGTTTTGTTTTATGAGGGAGCTGGCTCTCTCCGGGCTGCCGTCTCCGGCTCGCCTTTGGTCTGGGGGGGGGGGGGAGTCGAGAAACGGGAGCCGTGTTTCTTTTTCTTTTTTTTTTTGTTAAGTGTTGTGGGGCGAGGGAGCCGGGAACGAGTGTTGTGAAATAAGATCTGTCGCCGGTTCGAAAATTAGCTGGGTGTCTCCGCGGGCAAGGATGAAAACCCATCAGGGAGGGGCTTGCAGCGCGTTCTTTGAGCGCAGAGGGGATGGAGAGGCCGGGATCAAAGCAGAGGGGTGGGTCAGCCTCCGAGCGGCTTCCCCCAACAAACGACGGCCTTTCAAAACTTGTGACTCGCCTTGTGGTTTGTGTTTATTTGCCCTTGGAGGACGCTGGGCTGGGCTGCATTTTTTGTATTTAACAGTTAATGGCTGGCCGGGTCCTCCCATGTTTTTTTTTTTTTTTTTTTTCTCCTCCCCTCCTGGTCTCTGCTGCCCCCTGGTGAGCACCCGCGGGATGGCCTCTCCTTTTTTTTTTTTTTTTTTTACTACCCAAAGTTTGTAAACAGGAATCACGTGGCCTGCCACCAGCCCTGCAGCAGCTCTGCCGCTCCTGGCTGGGGAGGAAGGAGTGTGGGTGTGTGCCCCTGCCCTCGGCGGGCGGGGAGGAAGGCCTCCCGGAGGGCGCGCTGACTTGGGGTGTTGTGCAAGTCTCCCAGGCTGGCTCCTGTGTGAGCTGAGGCTCACCCCGGCCGCCCAGGTTCAGCCCAGCCTGCGGGATGCCTCCCTCCACAGTGCTCACATTCATGCCCCGGTCCCTCTGCGGGTGGCCCACCGCACGGCCGGCCTCGGGCTGTGGGGCTGCAGCCAGCGCTGTTTGTCTCTGGGAACCATTTGTGAAGAATTCCACTGGGATGGTCGGGGCTGGCGGAGAGGTGGGGGTGCTTTGGGTTGGAGAGGAGCCACCCACCAACCCTGCGTTTCAGCCAGGAGGCAGAGGGCGCTGACCCAGCTCCCCAGGGAAGGAGGTGCCGCTTCTGAGCCTCCTTGTTGTTGGCGTTTGCTAACGACGGCTCCTCCTGTGCTTGCTCCTAGGGACCCGGGTGTATAGCCCTCCCGAGTGGATCCGCTACCATCGCTACCACGGCCGGTCGGCAGCCGTCTGGTCCCTGGGGATCCTGCTCTACGACATGGTGTGCGGGGATATTCCTTTCGAACACGACGAGGAGATCATCAGGGGCCAGGTCTTCTTCAGGCAGAGGGTCTCTTCAGGTAACTTCCGGGAGCCCCAGGAGCCTCACGCAGGGCTGTCAGTGTGGGGACCTCGCTGTCCAGGAGATGCTGTGACCCTGGCTCAGTGGGACTGAGGGCCGACACGTTGCCCCCCCGGGCTGGCCCCAGCCCCACGGGGGTTGCATTGGAGCTTCCCTTGGGAACTGGAGGAGGGGTTTGTGTGGTGGCTTGAAGAAGGAGCCCCTGAGAGGAATCACTCCGCTCCCGGCCCTCGTGCCAGTGAGCCACCCCCTTGTAGAAGCAGTCTCTAAATGCTGTGGTCCCAGTGACCTCATTGTGGGCGGTGGTGTGTTTGTACGGCGGGAGGTGAATTGAGTCACCTCCGCGAGCTCTCTGGTGTCTCATCAGAATCCCTTGTCATCACCCTTCCTATTTCGGGCGTGTGGGCCGTGTGGGCGGCGTGGGAAAGGCCCCAGCTACTGAGGTGTGACAGCCCCACGTTTAGGAGGGGGAGCCAGCCGCTGGATCCCGAAGCTGGTGCAGACCTTCCCAGGGAAGAGGGCCCGGCCGGCTACTCCAGAAAGGGGGGGGGCCTGGCCTGCTGGCAATGCCAGGCTTGCCCTGGCGGGCAGCCTCAGAAAACCTTCTCCGTGCCAGAGCAAGTGAGTCATTCGTAACCTTGGTCTGTCCTGCCCTCCGCAGAGTGTCAGCATCTCATCAGATGGTGCTTGGCCCTGCGACCATCGGATCGGCCATCCTTCGAAGAAATCCAGAACCACCCGTGGATGCAGGACGTCCTCCTGCCCCAGGAGACTGCTGAGATCCACCTCCACAGCCTGTCGCCAGGGCCCAGCAAATAGCAGCCTTCCCGGCCGGCCCGGCCCTGCCCTCCCCGGCAGATGGCTGTGGGAGCGGAAGCGGCTGTCTCCAGCTTCCCGATGACCAGTGACACTTCTCGCCAAGCTGGACAGTGCTTGGCGCAGGAACAACATTGACAACTCATTCCAGACCCCAGGCCCCTGGAGGCTGCCTCCCACCACGGAGGGGGGGGGGGGCGGGAAGAGACTGCACTCCAGGTGCCCTAGGCCTCAGTTCCTCCCGTAGATGCTCTCTCCTTCTCATAGGTGTCCAGCACCGCTGGGCTCGCAAAAACCCGGGGGTGGGGGGTGGGGGGTCGGAACCCTGCCGTGGAACTGTTCCCTTCATCACGAGTTCTGCTGAATGCCGCCATGGGTCGTAGTGGGGAAACAGGTTGGGATGGGATAGGACTAGCACCATTTTAAGTCCCTGTCACCTCTTCCGACTCTTCTGAGTGCCTTCTGTGGGGACTCCGGCTGTGCTGGGAGAAATACTTGAACTTGCCTCTTTTACCTGCTGCTTCTCCAAAAAAATCTGCCCGGGTTTTGGTTCCCTACGTGTCTCCCCTCCTCCCCCTCCCCCCTTCCTACGAAAGGTGCCATGGAAGAGGCTACAGGGCCAAAACGCTGGGCCACCTGCCCTTTCTCTGCCTCCTTGAGTAAAACTGAGCGAACTGGTCTTCCTTTTTGGTTTTTACTTAAAACTGTTTCAAAGCCCAGACCTCACACACACAAAATGCACAAACAATGCAAATCACCAGAAGAAGCTGTAAATGTGTGTACAGTCGGCATGGTAGTATACAAAAGCATTGTAGTGGATCTAATTTTTTAAAAACTTCGCCTTTAAGTTATTTTTCCTGTTTTTTTTTTTTTCTTTTTCTTTTTCTTTTTTTTTTTTTTTTTGGGAAGATGTACGTTCTAACCTGGAGGTCGATGTTATGTATTTATTTATTTATTTATTTGGTTCCCTTCCCACTCCAAGCTCCCACAGCTGCTGCCCTGGTCTTCTCTCCTCCTCTCCTCCTCTGACTTGGACCTTCCGGGAGGGCAGTGACGCTTGCTCTGTTTGTGGGTGACGGGACTCAGGCGGGACAGCTGCTGCAGCTCCCTGGCTTCCGTGGGGCCCTGCTCCTGCACACCCAAGTGGGTCCAGGCCCCAGGCGAGGCAGGGAGGGCCTTGCTGACTTGTGTATATAGGCTAGGTGATGGAAATCGATTCTGGATGGTGTGCCTTCCGGATCCTCTCTGGGGCTGTGTGAGCAGCATGTAGCCTGCTGGTTTTATCTGAGTGAAGTACTGTACAGGGGAATAAAAGAGATCTTATTTTTTTTTTATACTTGGCGTTTTTGAATAAAAACCTTTTGTCTTAACTTGTGGTTTCTGATTGTTGTCCTTGGAGAAGCAAGCTAAACCCGTACCGAGCGCGTGCTGAGTGCTGAAGTCCTGTGTTAGGAAAGGCTTCCAGGCTCACTGGTTGAAAGAGATTAAAGATGGAGAGACAGATCTTCCATTCCCTGGTTCACTCCCCAGGTGGCCTCAATGGCCAGGGCTGGATCCAGGAGCTTCATCTGGGTCTCCCACGTGGGTGCAGGGGCCCAAGCTCCTGGGCTGTCTGCTACTTTCTCTGTCACTTTAGCAAGGAACTGGCCTGAAAGTGGAGCAGCCTGGAGCTGGAATTGCTACCAGCCTGGGGTGTCTCGCATCAGCCTAACCCATTATGCCACAGGTTAAGGGATAGGATGTGTATCGTGTGGGTAAGATGTGGGAGGGGCCTAACTTCTGCTGATTCAAATTTTAGAGTATGCAAATAATTCAAGTTTTCAACAGCACTTGTGGCTAGTGGTTACCTTCTATAGAACTTTTTATTTCCTTTTTAAAAAAAAGACATTTGAAAGGCAGAGGGAGAAATGCCTTCCATCTGTCAGTTCCCTCCCCAAAACAGTCACAGTACCCGGGTGGGGGCTGGCTGACTCCAGGAGCCTGGACCGCCATCCAGTCTCCCACCTGTGGGTAGCAGGGCCCACTTGAGCCATCTGTTGCTGTTTTCCCAGGCTCATTAGAAGGGAGCTGGACTGGAAGCAGAGCAGCTAGGATTCCAACCAGTGTTGTGATTCAGGAACACCAGTCCCAACAGGACATTTCTGACGTTGCAGAAAGTTCAGTTGGACAGGGCTGGCCTAGAGATGGTGGGTACCATCCCTCTTATAATAAACTAGCCCTTGAAGCCTTTTTCTCCATTGCCTCCCGCTGGGACGTGTGTGGCACGTGTGGCCTTGACGCATGTTGGCTGGAAAGCCACGTGTAGCGTTACCCTCCAGGGCACAGGCTCCTTCCTGGGGCGAATCCCCCTGAGCTGTCCTTAAGTAGTCATGGGTGGGTGGGGAGTTTCGACTTCAGCAGGCGGCCGAGTGCTTCCCAAACAGCTTACAGCAGGCGTAGAAGGTGAGATGTGAGCGCCACTGCTTTCTCACTGCTTGCTCTTGGATAATTAGTATTTTGAGTCTGTGGTTTCTTTGCAGGAATCTGCTTCATAGGCTCCTTGTTCGTGTTGTGTTCATTCGGTTTAAACTGGATGGCAGAAACTGCGGATCGGCACTGCGACCTGAATGCATCCTGGTGCTCAGAAAGCGTGCTGGCTCGTGCGCTGCTGTCGTCCGTGCGTTTGCTATCAGTACAGACTGGTTCCTTGTTTCTCTATGAACAGCAACCGCGGTTCTTTTTTTTTTTTTTTTTTTTTTTTTTTTGACAGGCAGAGTGGACAGTGAGAGAGAGACAGAGAGAAAGGTCTTCCTTTGCCATTGGTTCACCCTCCAATGGCCGCCACGGCTGGCGCGCTGTGGCCGGCACACTGCGCTGATCCGATGGCAGGAACCAGGTACTTCTCCTGGTCTCCCATGGGGTGCAGGGCCCAAGCACTTGGGCCATCCTCCACTGCACTCCCTGGCCACAGCAGAGAGCTGGCCTGGAAGAGGGGCAACTGGGACAGAATCCGGTACCCCGACCAGGACTAGAACCCGGTGTGCCAGCAGCGAAGATTTATCTATTTGAAAGGCAGAGTTACATAGAGAAGGAATGACAAAGAAAGACCTTCCATCTGCTGGTTCCCTCCCCAAATGGCCACAACAGCCGGAGCTGAGCCGATCCAAAGCCAAGAGCCAGGAGCTTTTTCCAGATCTCCCATGTGGGTGCAGAGGCCCGAGCGCTTGGGCCATCCTCCGCTACTTTCCCAGGTGTTAGTAAAATGGTGCAGTCTTATCTATGGCGCGATCTACACCCTGGCCACCATTGCTGGAAGCCAGGTGACCACATGGCTCAACCACAGGTATCAGCTCCACCCCCACCCTAGTTCCCTGCCTTCCCCCCAGCAAAGTTTTAAGAGGACCTTTTCCTGAACATGTGACTCTCTGTCTCGATCTCTCTCTCTTACACTCTCCTCTCTCTTTTCCCTTCTTCACCCCTTCCCTCCGGTCTCCTCCAGTGTTTGGTGTGTTTTAGGATGGCCTCACACCAGGTGCATCAGCAGGGAACTGGATCAGAAGTAGAGCAGCCTGGATTTGAACTGCTGTCCAAACGAGATGTGGGCGCTGCAGACCATGGCTTAACCCGCTGCACCACAGCAGCGGCCCCTATGTGGACTCTTGGCAGACTGCTTGGCCATCCCAGCCACAGCGTCCTCGTGCCTCCTTAGGCTCCGGGGTTTGTCTGCCCTTAAGCGGGGACTGGGTCCCAAACCCCAGCATGGCCCCATGTGACTGCAGAGGAAGGAGAGCTTTCTTGATCCTGGGGGGGCGGTTTCCTGAGCTTCCCCTTTCCTCAGCAAGCCCCTCCTGCCCCCACCCAATATGCTCACCACCAACCTCCTGGAGGCTGGAAGTCGCTCGCCTCATCCCTTCCTGTGGAGCTGTACTTGCACAATTAAGGTTGGCTCCAAACTAACCGTGAACTCTGGCCAAGTGCCCCTTCTCTCCCCTGAAGGTTTCCCCATGTCGGCACTGCTGGAGGTGATGGACGAGAGCGTGTCTGAGGGAGTGCACATTGTGACAAGATGCCAGGGGCATGGAGCCTGCGCCGTGGCTCACTTGGCTAGTCCTCTGCCTGCGGCACCAGCATCCCATGTGGGCACTGAGTTCTAGTCCCGGCTGCTCCTCTTCCAGTCCAGCTCTGCTGTGGCCCTGGAAGGCAGTGGAGGATGGCTCAAGTGTTTGGGCCCTACACCCACATGGGAGACCAGGAGGAAGCACCTGGCTCCTGGCTTCAGAGAGGCGCAGCGTGCCGGCCGTAGCGGCCATTTGGGGAGTGAACCAAGGGAAGGATGACCTTTCTCCCTTTCTCTCCGTCTCTCACTGTCTAACTCTACCTGTCAAAAAAAAAAAAAAAAATGCCAAGATGCCAGGGGCTGTGAGGGGCTGTGAGGGAAGGGTGCGACGTCCCCTGTAGTGGCTTCCCATGGGCCCTCAGGAGCCCGCACTGGGGACGAGGCCCTGGGCTTAGATCTTTCAGCGAGGTGCCTCTGGCGGGTTCCACACCCTCTGAGCCAAGCCTCCCAGCAGACTGTTCCTTGATTGCTTTTTAGGAGGGTTGGATTAGATGATGGATACAAGAACAAGCGAGCAAATCCCATCTGCTGCTTCTGGGTGCAGCGTGGGGTAAAGTACAAGGAAGTTCAGGGCGGCAGGGCGTTCCCAGGGGAAGGACGGGGTGCATGACCTCGCGGCGGGGACTAGGGTCTGAACAGGAACACCCAGCTGTTTGGGCAGTGCTTTATTTCATACGCTAGGTGGTTAGGACCCCAGTAAAAGGTTTGTCTTAAGCATTTCTTTTTTCTTTTGTTTAAAGATCTATTTTATTTGTTGGAAAGGCAGAGTTAGAGAGGTTGGGGGGGGGAATCTTCCATCCTCTGGTTCATTCTAATGAATGGTGCATTCCCCAAATGTCCACAATGACCAGGGCTGGGCCAGGCTGAAGCCAGGAGCCAGGAGCTTCCTCTGGGTCTCCCACGTGGGTGCAGGGGCCCAAGGACTTGGGTCATCTTCCAGTGCTTCCCCAGGTGCATCAGCAGGGAGCTGGATCAGAAGTGGAGCGGCCAGGACTCAAACTGGCGCCCATATGGGATGCCGGCACTGCAGGCAGAGGCTTAGCCTGCTACCGACTACGCCACAGCGCCGGCCCCTCATAGTGAGTTTTTAGTAATAATGAGCCTCCTTGTGCTTTTCCCACAGGAGGCAGCAGATGGGAGTTATCCCTGCCCTTGGCTAAGGTAATCTGGGAAGACTTCAAAGAGGAGAAGGCATTTCAGGTGGATTTTGAAAGACAAACCTCAGTTTGTTCAACCAAGAAGTGATGCGCTGAACACGCACAGACCAGGAAAGTCCAGAGGAGTGTTTTTTCCTCTACTAGCTCAGGAATCAGCAACCCACGGCCTGCTGAGTGGGTCTGCTATACACCTTGCTTTAGTACCCCTTGCATACTAAGACTGGGTTTACATGTTTTTTTTTTTTTTTAATTAAAAAAATTTTTTTGAGAGGATGAGAGAGAGAAACAGAGAGAGAGAGAGAGAGCCCCATCTGTTGTTTCACTTTCCAGATGCCTGTAACAGCTAAGGCTGGGCCAGGGCTGGGTCCAGGCGCCAGGAACTCAATCGGGGTCTCCCAGTGGTGGCAGCAACCCAACCACATGAGC